TTCAGAGGCGCAGGTACTGCAGATCTTGCATATTCTTATTATGCTGGGGAAACCACTAAGCGACAGTTAGCAACCCTTGCAGGTTGAGCACCTGCATGTTAATGTGCTTTAAGAATGTGCAATCTTAGGTCGTCAGGCGCTATAATGTAGGGAGTCTTGAGCAAGGTAGATTTAATGCCCAACTAAGTTGTCTTCTGGTAGTTGTGATGAATAAATGAAAAAGTAGTTTTGCCTGCATCAATGTGGTTCTTAATAGAGCACAGGTGTTGTTAACAAAAGGCACATTTAGCTCTGTTGCACTAGAGGAATGGAAGAGGTTGAGTTCTTGCCAATCTTAAATGGGGACTTTTATTTGTTCGAGATCCGCATATAATCCGCCTTTGACTCTAAATTAATGACCACCCCAGAAGTATAGCAGGTTATGATGCAGCAGCATTTTGTCAGGTAAAAACTGGCAAAAGTTGGCCTTGTTGTATAGATGCTATTGTAGACATGCCAATTTAAGCAGCTGTTTAAACTAGTAATAATTTAGCTATGAAAAAGAGAATAATAAGGTGACTAAGTTGTGTGTGTTTGGTTACTCTGAAAGTTCTAGGCACATGACATCACCTGTTTGTTAATTTCCAAATTCCCACCTTTCCTCTTGCCTCTTGTCTGAAGTGTTTCTGCAGTAGCCTTTAACATAAGCCTCCTTTAAATAGCAGATTCAGTTTATTACTAGAATCTTAGCCTTCCTGTCTTCCTTATCTTTACTTAAATCTGGTTTTATAAGTACCTTAGCTGCTTTTCTAGCATGGCCCACCCTATCAAGTCTAACCTCCATTCTCCAGCATTACCTATAAACTTGCTTGGCCTGCATTAGGAGAAACAAGTTCTAGAATTAAGGTTTATGTTAATGTGCTTTAAGTGGTATAATATTTAAATCTTAGCTACTCTAGCTGCTTTATATTTTATCTAGGCTGATGGTTCCCCTACACATTATATATTGTACACTTCTCTCTTCCCAGTAGCTAAATACCTACTCTGGTTAACAATGTCCTATAAAAAATGTAGGAGGACGCCAGGCTTGCAGTTACCTATTTCATGCTGGTCTTACGCATCTTCCACTCCTTGCTCATACTTTCACTATGCTGCATAAATGCCTAGAAGTCATAAGGTCACTGCAGCTATAGCACTATAAGCTTGGGCTGACTAGTAGGTGCAGCCGGTGCTACAGAGGCTACATTTGGGCATAGTGTGTCAGCTAAAGCCGAGTACTGTAACTATTAAAAGGTTGGTAATGCTAAGGGTAAGAGATATAATTGTCTCTGCCGTGGGGCACTATTATAATCGGTTCGCTGGCATGATGATTATAAGTAGCTGCCTACTACACCATTTTAATGAGGCGGCGTAATTGTCCAGCCTGATTTTCTTCCCTCCCACCCCCGACTTAATAGCTTCAATCATATTAATTCTAGGTTTAAATAGCTAAGTATAATGCTTTATGTAGGATAAGTGAAGCTCTCCTATATATCTGTGCTTAGCCATATTCAGTTATTAACTTTGGTAAGGATATCAACATCTAAACCCTTACCCCTTTGATGTTTTGACCTACTTAACTCTTAGCAGTGCAGCAAAACTAGAAGGACCTTTACTGCTAGCACATACATGGTTTTTAGCTCTCAATTCTAGAACTAGGGGTAAGGTTGCAGATGCCAAACCTGTGGTCAGTTGATTTTATAATTTACCTTATGTACTGGCGGGGCTTATCAGCTTTAGTAAGTTAGCTCTCAAATAGTTAAGCGGCTAAAACTTGTGGGCAGCAGGTTTCTAAATTGCTTCTATTTAATGTGTAGATCTGTGCATTACTCTAATCCTTAACTGATAATTAATGTACTGTAGTGCACCCTCCATTTATACGTGGCAAGCTAGACCTACATAAATGAGTCCTCTGCCTGTCCCATGCTTTACCATCTGTGGAATCTTGCTTTTTAAAAGGCTACCTGGAGGGGTTTGACCATTCCAGGTCCGTTAGATAAATTCCACGTTCTTCTGCTTCATCCTTGTGTTAGTCAAAATAGTGCAGAACTGCTAAGTAGCCGGGTGCCACACCTAACATGTTGTTGTATGTTGATTAACACTCTGATGAGTAGAGCTAGCCTGGTTGTACAGGTAAACTAGTTTACTTTACTCTATTATGGCTCATAATAGGGTTCAGATCCAGGGAAGATCTTCAGTGGATTATCTGCCAGTTGCTAAAGGTATATCTAGTCCTCAGAGATCTTGAACCTGCTAATAACACTAGAAGTTCATGGCTTGACTCTGAAAATAGTGTAAGGTTGGCATTTTCCGTCCTATATCAGGGGAACCTCCGCTTCGGCCTCCTTCGGACCCTCCAAATGCATCCAAGGCACATCCGACTGACTCCCCCTCAGACGCTCTGACCTATCCTGACCCTCATCCTCAGCCTCCTTCACCTGATCCATCAAGACCCTCCCAACGGTCACCTTGGGACAGAGCCTGCGACGCTGCTCAGGCCGTCTGCACTCTATATTGGCAGTTACAGATGACCAGTATATAGTTAGCGCTCTAGCAGACAGACCCCTAGAGTTTCTTCTCTTTAGATCCTCCCCTGCTAGGTCGGTCCCTCTGTGTATTTCCTGTAGCTTTTATTCATGCTTTGGATCCTCCCCTGCTAGGCTTTCCCAAAACTCAGAATCCTCTATTTCATCGTCAGTCCAGTCAGAATCCCCTTGCCCTGGTGGTTCTGAGCATGTATCTGGCTCCAACTCGACATCTGACTCACCCGAATTACCGGTGGCATCAAATTCTAAGTGCTGAGAGCAATTGGGAATGTGATGGGACACAACCTCAAGGTCAGAGTTATCTTCCTGGGGTTCTTGAGGAGTGTCTGACATCTCAGAGAGGTCGGAGGTTGTGGCATCAATGGTATTTGCTACTGCCTGACCTGTCCGGGCACGTGCAGCAGCAGCCAGCTGCATTTTGCACTTCCGGCCCATCTTTCAAAGCCTTTGGTGGTTGTAGACAGTGTAGAAGTTCGTATTTTGCAACAGTATATACACAATGCACAACTTTTCTGGCAGTTCCGCCGCTCACGCGATCTGATTATATAAGATTATATAAGCTATCCACATTTGGTGGTGACTAAGTGCATTGCACCATAGAAGGGATGATATAAAAAGCCCTATGCTGCAATAAAGGGGGCTATAAAACTGTAATATCCCTGGGACCAGGCTCTAAGTCATTTTGTGTGTTATCGCACAAGGTTAGTGTTATATCCGTGCCGACTCCGGCATTCCGTCTCCGATATTGATTCCGGTATTTGGTTTTTATGCAATGAAGATTTACTGAGCGTTTCCAATTACCCCGACTTATGATCTATACAATCATCTATGCCTTATTCCTTGTATGCAACTCCTCTTCTACTTTACTTTACTTTGTTCTAATCTTGCTACTTACTTTGTTATACCTTATTCCGTTTCTGTTACTTCTCGCACTATAAATACTTTAATATCTTATCACGTACTTCAGTTTGTAAATTAACGTTGCTGGTCTCTATCTCCCAGCGTTGTCTCGACTCCGCTCTTCTCTTCTTGTCTTGTCTTGGTCAACTGGAAGCCCCGGTCACCCAATCATCCTTCTGTGGTGTTCCGCCCCCCAAGTGCTCTCTCCGACTTCGATTCCGTTTCCGACTTCGACTCCGTCTCCGGTCCTTTGGTCGACACGGCACTTAACAGTATTTACAAACTCACTTCCTTTTGACCATGTCAAACATACGTATGCCTCTCTTCTGACAACATTGACCCTGCCAATACTGGTCAACGGCGTTCATCCCGCTTCTACGAACAAATGGTTCCTCTCACTTCGCCTATGGCGAACTTTACCTACAACGCTGGCGCTCCTGTCACTTCGGTTCCTGTTCCCGTTCCTCGGACACCTACTGGCACAACCAACCCTTTCCGGCCTGGTTTTGTTATGTCTCCGCAGGATCCTGATCCAAGTACTATTCCTATGCCAACGACTCCGCATCCAAACACGGGTCGTTTTTCTAGCGTCAGTTCCCCTCCCGTCTCTCCTACTTTTCGTTAAGGTAGGGGTCGTGGGAACCCCGCGCGTTGACTAAGCAATCAAATAATGGCATCAGCGCCATCATTTAGGACTTCGGAAATTTTCCAAGTATTTTTTGTCAAGAAAACTACTGTACATGAGCAATAGAAGCTTTTACTTCATCTATCATAAATTGAGGCAGTATCCGATGTCCTTTGTACCGACGCTGGACATAAGCAAGCTCTTCACAATTGAGACCACCTGCATAAGCAGAGATAAAACGAGCTGCATGATTGGCATATCTGTATTCAAGATAAGAACAATCATGATAGCGGTCAGTGAGAACATACCGGACAATTGAGACCTGTGAAACCGCATCGAGCGCTGCCTGCATGTTCTTCTCCATCTCATCAATAGTCTTGGTCTTGTCAGATTTGCGGTAGATTGCCTTTGCTGCACCCCAATACATTTCTATAAAGTTGAGCTCACAATGGTATTTCGGGTAGAAGTCACAAATGTGGCCACGCTCTTGAACAAGCTCTTGCAGCGCTGATTTCTGAGCAACAAAATCGGGCTGAGTAAACAGGGCCCGACGACAGCAACAGTCAGTCGCATCAGGCTTGCACTTGAAGCCTGGGCACTGGGCATTCATACCAGGCCGGAACAGACCACGCTCTCGGAGTATCTGCTCCATACCCTTGAACCAGCCTGGCATGGTCGGGTGGTTCATGGGCCAGTAGAGCGACTGCTCAGAACCATCAGCCATCCTGCCCGCACACATGCAAGGACCATTGGGCTTGGATGTGACGTGCTTCCCACCTGCGGTTCATTAGATGATGATGAAATAAACAATAGATCTATGAACTCAGCGAGACGTAGACGACCCCAATGTGCAACCAGGAAGTCGGAGACCATAATGGACTCGCCCTCCCCTTTTGCTTCGGGTGTGGCTTTCACAGATGCATGAATCCAGCCAGACTTGCGACGGTCATTCGGTCATTCTTGTAGAATGTCGATTCGTCATGGGTCACAGGGATGAGCTGGAAGCGTTGGCCAAGGTACCTTTCTGGGAGCTTGAAGGTGTCACCATCGGGTCGCTTCGCCTCGTTACCATCATTGTCATAGGTGACCATTCGGGGCTCATATCCCTCCATCCAGCGCTTGACAAACGCTTTCCGATAAGCCACTACATCCTCTCGTTCATGGCCGTCCACATACATCCCATTTTTCCTCACCCCAAACCACCAATCCATCCGTTTGAGCCACCGACATGCTGTTCGAACAGTGATCGAGCGCTTTTGAATGTTGGCAGCTTCGAGTCTTTCCTGCATGTCTGGCGACGCCACGAAGTCAACCAGATCTTGAGCACGGAAGTGCTTGTTCTTCGCGCAAACAGTTTGGAGATGAAACTTGATGGCTAGCGCAAAGTCTTCATCGTCGAGCAGCGAATCATTATCGTTCACACCAATGATATGCACAGGAAGTTTTCCTGTGGCTAGATAGAGATGAATCCAGTCGCGGATTCGGTGCGCTTGATGAGTTGCAAGGCCTTGCGAATATGCAATGAGAGTCGAGGCCTGACGCCAGGTATAATTGAATGCGGGGGAGAGGTAAAGGTTTAGCGTGCCATGCATTGCGACGAGACGTGTCTGGAAGACCACATCAGTCTTCTTGTCCTTGCTGAGAACAGCCAGTCGCGCAGCTGCTCGTCAAAGCGCGGGAAATTCGAGGTAATGAAGCCGGTTGAGTGCGCGATCCGCCACAGTTTCGGGCGAGAGGTCTGCTGACGGCAAAACACCCGATTCCATAGCTTCACGCAATTCGCGCAGTCGGACATGGGCCAGATTGACTGGGTCCATGCAGGACTCCGAGTCGGCAATTGGAGGGGAAGGTGGGTGACTAGACACTGGAGTGGGTGATGCTGAGTCTGTGGCGGACAGAGGGGGAAAGGAGGGAACAGGCGATGAGGACGAAATCTATTGTGGTCTTCAGAGCAATGAAAGATGGGAGAAAATGAACACGCACCTCCTCCATTGACACCGGTGGACTGTCCACCTCCATTGGCTCTGCTTCTTGATTGCCCGAGGCGCTAGAAACCTTTTGAGGCTTCCGCATCATGTATGCAAATGAATTCTTGAAGCTCTTCATGGTCTGCTGGCGTTGGCTCTTCTCCTTTGCGAGCTTTGCATGGTGTTGCTGGGTCCTTTTTGCCTTGCCAATGTATTTTGTTGGCCGTGTCTGACCCAACGCATTTACTCTCGTCTTCCTATCCTCTGCAAGCGCCCTCTCCATTGCCGCACTCTGAGCATCGGCCAGAAACTCACGGAAAGCCGCAAGAGTCTCCTCCGTTACACCCTCATCTCCCACTGGTATTGTGCTCCCGAGAATCTTGATGTCGGAGTCTTCGTTATCTTGCAGGCTCGTGACCGCGTCGTCGTCGTCCAAAAACGGAAGCTCGTCCCCAAGTCCCAGCTCCATCTCCGCCATCTCCCACGGGACGCTCACACTTGCATCTAGCTGTAAGGGCAACCTCGCGAGGCTCGAAATCAGAGTCCTGAGCAGAGGGGGAATCCTTAGTGAACTACTACAACAGGAAGGGACGCTACAGACTCACCTGAGCAGAGGGGGAATCCTTAGAGAACAAGCCAAGGAGCCCTCTGCCCAGGTGCACTACTATATACCAGTGACCGGAGTAATGATAGAGTGACTGCATAGCGACGGATGACGGATGGGAGAAGTCAGGCATCGCTAATGGACCCTAGGTGAGTGTCGAGTAGCCCTTGAAGCTCCGGAGAGGCAGGTTTGGGACCGTGATGCCAAGGGAGGGGCCCAGGCATCCCTAGAAGGCCTAAGAAGGGCTTCGGGAGGTCCAGGCTGCCTCTGGGCGTCTCCGCTTGTGACCGTGACCGTGACAACCGGAATCGGAATCGGAATCGACTCCGGGTGTGTGACCGTGACGTGACGGCCGGAAACGGAGAGGGAAGGCGTGGAGCGGAAAGGGAAGGAGTCTGGTCTAGCCTAAGGGCCGGGGAGTGTCGAAGAGGACCAATGGGAATGGCGGCCAGCCATGACCACTGGAGGGTAGCGACAGGAGGGTCACTCGGAGACGTCCCCGGACGTCTCCAGAGAGGTGGAGGTGTGAGGGCATGCAGCCTGGGGCGCTGCAGTAGGCACGAGCCTTAACGGCAGTAGGCCTCACCCAGGGGAAGGCCCGATGACGGGGGCCGTGGTGGCGGAGTGGAGAGCGGAGCCATGGCAAGGCTCAGCCATCCGAACATAAGCCCGAACGCTGACATGGGTTGGGGACACCCAAGAGGTCCAGCAGGTAGAGATCGTAGGGAGACCTTGATAAGTGACAGCCCAGAGAGGCTAGAAGGCCATAGGCTCAAGGTCTCGGAGGGAAGTGGTGCGTCCACATCCGGAGAGGTCTCCGATGGCATTAGTGATCCCTGATGGTGACTCCGCCGGCGGAGAGACTCCCGGAAAGGGGTGGCCAGGGAAGTCGAAGACTGGGGATCACTGGATGTGGGATGTGGTGCGGGCAGTGGAGGGAGAGCGTCAGGGTGCGGAGACGCGGAGACACGAGCGGAGACGCGGAGACGCGAGCGGAGACGCGGCGCTTGATGGGATCAAGTGACGGCATCAGGGTTTCCCCTGACATCATCCCCCCTTCAAGCTGCGTCGCCCCGATGCAGGAAAAAAAAAAATCGGGGGGTCACTGAGCTCGTCCTCCGGAGTCCCTTGTCCTCCGGTGGCCAAGCTCCTGTCTCTGTCGATGTCCAGAGACTGTCCATCTCCAAGATCCAGTGTGACGGTACCTTGGCATTGCTCTAGTGATCACTGTTGCCAAGGTCAACCCATGGAGTACTTGCGTTCTCCACTGGTTGCGCGCCCATATTCGGAGACGCCCCGGAGACCTGCGGTCCCGGTGCCTCTCCGAGAGATGGTGCAACTACACCTTTGCGTAGCTTCGGTGTGCGCCCGCTTGCGCTCTGGTCGCATGTTGCTCCAGGAGGGTCCTCTGCGAGTCCCCTCCTATACCTCCTCCATCCCCCCTTCAAGAGTGCGGCGCCCCCGACGCACCACAGAAAAAAAAAAGGGGGGTCTGCGCTTAGCCAAAGCACCAAGTACACCTCCGGAAACGTCTCCGTTTGTGCCCGGAAACGTCTCCGAGCGTGACCGGAAACGCCTGTGACGTCACAGGGCGATTCCGACCATCTCTACTGGTTGTTGGAGATCGTTGGGCGGCAAATGACTTGCCATGGGGTGATAGCATAGCGAGTGGCGAGCTCACTTTTACTGCACCCAGATGTCAGGTTGGGGGGAAAGGAATTGCAGTGTGACTCCGGACACTGCGCTGTCAGCCGGGGCACTAAGCCTAGTGTTGCGGACTGGGTGGGAACAGCTCGACCCATCCTAGTTGTGCGGCAGAGGCGGGTTGACGTAGGCATTCCAGAAGCGATTCCATTGTTCGGGGTCCGGCTGTACAATGGGACCCTTTGAGCATCTCCGCTTGTGACGTGACCGTGACGTGACTACCGGAAACGGAAACGCGATTCCGAGCGCGTGACCGTGACGTGACGGGCGGAAAGCGGAGAGGGGTCCCATGAACGGAAGGGGCATCTGCAGAGCCCTGAACTGCAGTGACTGCCTAGGTAACACCATGGTGGATCCTCTAAGGCAAGGGTACCCTCCGGGGCAGCTATGTTGATACCAGAGACGTATGAGACGTCTCCGGGGGGGTGTGCTAGCTGAACTCCGATGCCATGTGAATGACGTTGTGGGGTGGAGTCCGTCTCCGGAGAGTGAGGGGGGAAAGTCGGCACTCCGACTCAGCACCTGCCACTCGTGGCCTAGTAGGGCGGCCCTAGGCGAGCGGACTCGTCATCTCGCATCTGGCGCGGGGCCTATACGGCAGTAGGCCACGCCCAGAACCTAGTGGGGCAGCAACGAGTGGTGTCATGCCAAGGTGTCGCAGGCCGATCAAAGGGATCAGCCATCTCGCGGTTATCCCAAGGTCCAGAGTCGAACTGGACGCGTCGAGCCGGACACGTAGGGAAGGTCACCCGGGTAGTCCGATGAGAATCGGGGCCGGGCTGTGGGGCCCGCGGAGACACGTGCGTAGGGGGACACGGGTGATGGAGTATGGAGACTTGCCTCCCAAGAAAGCCAAGCCTTTGCTCGGGGTGTGAGCGGTCTCCTGTCAAGCCACGATGACAGCATCAGCGGAAAGGTCTCCGGAGATGCCCCCGGAATCAATCCAGGGATCATGTGCCGCCTAAATTCCGGTGGAGTTGTCACATGTCTGGCAAAATCTAGGCGGTCACATGATGTCGTGGTGGGCGTGCGGTTTAAGCAGGAGACAGCACCCTATGCCGTAGCAGATTCCATCACCCATGGCACTAGCCACAAAAATGGATTGAATTTCCCGTGGGTGTACCCATGGGTGGGTACACACCCACAGCGATTGAAAATCAGACCCCGTGTATGCCGCCGCGAGGCCATCAGGGCCTATCAACGCCAAAACGACAATCAAAATATCATTGACTGCCTCAAAATATCATTGACTGCCGGCCTCGCACATCACCGGGAGGTTCCGGGTGCAACCCACGCCCGACTCGTCCCCGCCTAAGTATCTTGGCGTCGGTAGGAGTTGACAGTTTTTATGTTTGTCATAGACAGAAATCTATCTATGCCGGTGTCTTGTCCCCACCCGCGCCCGCGCCCGACTCCCGCGCCCGCGCCCGACTCCGTGCCCGCGCCCACGCCCACGCCCGCTGCAGGCGCACGTGCACGCGTGGCCGAACGGAGTTGGCGGGCAGAGACCTGCTCCCCAGCCTCTAGGTGCCCCACACTCTGCTCCGCATCTGCCTCGGAATCATCGTCTTCCTGTTCCCCCCCGCTCTTGTCATTGTCCTCGCCAGCGCCGCCGTCCTCGTTGCCTGCCCATATGTCGCGTAGCAACCCATTGTCAAGGGCTGTGACGGCACCCTTGACAGTTTTGTTCCACTCCGCAAAGAACGCCTCACCAATACGACTGTGCAGATCCGCTTGGCGCCCAGCGTATGCCACAATTCCTGAGCGCAGCTCTGGGCTTATACCCGTCTCTTCCTTGCGGCCTTCCCGTCGGTCTAGCCATTGTGTTCGCTCCCAGCGCAGAGAGCGTAGCACACGCTTCATTTCCTCTCTGACCAATGCAATCTCCTCCCGCCACCTGTCTCGTCGCGCCTTAGCCTTGGACCAATCCACACGGACAGCTGTCAGAACAGTCAGCGTGAGATTTTCTCCTGAGATAAAAACAAACAGTCATGTAGCTTCGAAGCGCTCGACCCTGGGGCTGTCCAAATCCAGGAGACAGTTCGATGGAGTACACCTTGGGTAGGCTCATTGCGAGATGCGCGGGATGAGTCAGCAACAGCCAGTCGCTTGAGGGCAACGATGTCGCTCTCTATTTCTGGGCGCCCATTGACATCGACGTCAAGAAGCGGCTTGAACTGTGGAGCAAAGGATGCGCCTTTGATCGCGACCAGCGCAGCCCGAGCAGCACGGTACTTGGCGGCAGCCTTCTCGATTCGCTCCCCGACTCGACTAATCAAGGTGGCTGAGCGTGTTGCGGCCCGCTGACCCACTGAATTAGCATTCCGCCAGTAAATGATCTGCGTTCGCGTGTTCAGCTGAGCGCGAAGAGTGGTCAAAGCATCGTGACATTGGCCCAGCCGAAGCCTTGCCTCGGCCTCAATGACGCCTCGACCACAAACCGACGAGCGTGCTGGCGTCGGGATTTCCGATGGCAAGTACAGCTTGACATACTCGGCCTTCGGCGGCGGCGCATCAGGGTCTCGCAGTGCTTCCTCCTCATCTCGTAGCTCCTGCACGCCAGGCATGTATGTGAGCTGGAGGCGCGTAAAAGTCTTCATCTTGCGAAAGAAAGTGAAACGGGATTCTTGTATCTGGCTGGAGCGATCGGCGTTGAGCAAGGTAGTGTTCTTCGTCTCCGTTACAATTTTTCGCCTGATTAATTGTCAGCGAACGAGCAAAATGAGCAATGAATCCTACTGAGAATCCTCTAATTGAAGTCCCGCTGCGACAAATGCTGCCGCAGTCATCTTGCCTTCCACCAGAGGGGCGTTGCCAGCACGAACCTCTTCCAATTCCATCGCCTTCAGATCTTCTCGGATCTTCTTTTCCGTTTCGTCGCCTGCCACTTGTTTAGAATGAGCTAACGGGATAGGAAAATCAACCACCTTCGCCACCATGGTAAAGATATGGGTTGGGGCGCGTATCATCGGCCCGCCATGCTCGGATCTTCTCTTGCCATACCTTCCGAGTGGGCTCGTCAATGTTGGAGTCGATCTCGCGAAACTCTCCGTCTTGACGATCAGATTCGGCGATGGCAACGACAAGCTTGCGGGCCAATGTGTTTCCTTGAAGAGCGTCAAGTTAATATGCTTACTACATGTCATTCCACATACCTTGTCCCCGATTCTTCTCCCAATTTAGATGATCGATGCGGTCTTCAATGCAATCCAAACGAGCGCCTTCACCCATTTCCTTCGTTGACCAGGCAATTGGGTTTAACGTCGACCACGTTCTTTCTATCCCCTCGCCATCTGTTCTCCCGACCCCGAGCTGGTAGGTTAACGAGTTAGCAGTGCGACACCCGATCTCGTGTGCCGCTGCGTGCCATACGGGCAGTGCAAACTGCATCTTAAAGCCGTTTAAATCCTTCATCATTCGACCCTTGTCCTTCAAGCGTGCTGCGCGTTCGGGTAGGTGTTGCTTCCATTGACAGCCAATATCGTACGAAAAAGCGATGGCTTCTACGTCTTCGTCCTGGACGGTGGCCAACGCGATGAAATCCATGTTCGCGTAGCTTAATATAGTCAGAGAAATTGAATCATAACTTTGAAAAACACGCACCGCTCGCCCTTCTGCAGGTCTCCCATGCCCTGGCTCCGGACAAGCCCATGTCGTGCGCATACGCATCCGCCGACGCCAGATACTCGAAGGCCCGTGCTGATGCGCGAATCTTTTTGTAATAGAGCCGCAAATGCGACACATGTACTGATCTAATACCTCGTTAAAGGCAGACACGAAGTTAAGAGAAAAAGACAACTCACGTCCTTCTCATTTGTGTAGTCCTTGAGATGTGCCTTGTACGACTGAGATTCAACGAAGTACCCCTGGCCATCGATAAGTGATGGGTCGGCGTGAGCGTTTGCGCGAATGCGATTTTTGAGCCGAAAATTGGCGTCCAGCGCGAGGATGAGTTTGTATAGGTAACTGGTACAATATCAGATTCGAATTCATAGGTATGGGCGAGCGCGCATACGCATTCTTTGCTTTAACATGGCGCCAGCCCTCAGGAAGATTCCGATGAGCGTCAGGACACGCCCAACAGCGCACCGCAAAGCAGCCCGGCTGCCGGGTAACCAAGCCATCTTCTTTGTGTGCGCGACCCATACGCTTGGCGGTCGTCAGAAAGCTGTGCTGCCGAGCCATGCGCAAAAACGCTTTGTATCGATCCTGGCGCAGCGTCAGCAGGAAACTGACAAGTGATTCGACTTACGGGAACCTTGCCCACATTGGCGGCATCTGTCAACCTCTCTACAGTCCCAACGAAGTCGTGGGCATTGATGTTTCCGACAACGTTGAGTAGACGGAAGAGTTCAAGGGCTTCGAGTGTTGCACAAGTCTCCGGATTGACTGTAGTTGCCGGGTACCAACCATGGGCCAACAGTTGTTGCACTGGATCGCTTCGCCGTTGGCCGTAATCGCAGGCACAAAGTTGTACGCGTACAGCGAAAAACACCACGGACGTCGATCACCACGAGAGATTTGAGTTGCCCTGGATTATCGCACTCGAAACCGAAGTGGCCTAACTGGAAGACGAAGCCTAGGCCCCCGGATTCGACTGGGGAGTGGAGCGATATATCATCCCAGAAGCTGCCGTTCCATTCCTAGCCCACTGAGAAAAGACTCTTGCCGCCTTGTAGGTAGCAGAACTCACCTGTGTAGTATGAAGTGGCTGACGTGCATGCTGCTGAAGCAGACAGTTCTCGCATTGAGGGAAGTTACCGCATTGTTTGCAGCGAAAGATGCGGCAGTTCGGACCGTAGGCAGCCTTGCAAACCGCACATCCAAGCCGGTTGAGATAATCACCAAGCCCTTCTCGACGAATGAGCTCATCCAGGAAAAGTGAAGCGTGAGGCAGCCACGTGGACATTGGATCGTCCTGAGAATAGCTGAGGCCAACGGAGACTGGACATTAAACGACTCACCGAGCTTGCGTACCGTCTCCTCTTCGCCGTTGTGTCCTGCCCAACATCCTCCGGGTCCGGCTCCACCTCGTACGATGTAATCGTGTCCGCAAGGGTACGGACATCGTCCAAACCAAGGGCTGTAACCGGTGTCCAGTCGGTTAGCCTGTTGTCCTCCTCCGTCACTTCCTCAACACGGCGTCGCTTTCCAGCAGCAGGATTGTGTCGTGTTTGGGTCAGCAGGCGGCTGCCATCCAGAGAAATGTGGGTATGGCGATCGCCTTCACGCTGGCGTTCACCAGTATGGAAGTTTCCAACACTGTCAATCTTTGGGCGTCGACCCATGGATAACAATGAAGAGAGTTCTGTACTGCCAGGGTCCGTGGTGCGTCGTTGTGGGGTCTTGCGTTGACTTGGCAGCTGACAAGAAGCAGCCACGTCATGTCACATCATGTGAGAGTAGTGCTCTGCCGGGCCGGGCTTGGAGCCCGAAGACGTAGCCCGCGACGGGCAGCTGGGGCCCAGCCCGGCCCGGATCAGGGCTCGGGCTTCGACGAGCCCAAGGCTCGGGGCTGGGAATTCCCAAGGCCTGACCTTGGGCTTCTGTTGTATCCATGCCGGGCCCGGGCTTAAAGCCCGAGGACTCGGGCCGGGCCTGTCAAGGGCCCCGGGCTCGGGCTTGGGAATTCCACGGCCCAGGCCCGAAATCGGGCTGGGCTTGGGCAGCCCGGCCCGGCAGAGCACTATGTGAGAGTGATTATCACGATTCACAACACCGCTTAGAAACAACGAATAGCAAAAGAAGGTCTTAATGCAAAATAACGAACACCATGACTAAGTATATAAGTGCCCATCGAAACGTCTAGGCAGCGTCAAGATCATATCCAGCAAGGGAACGGATATTGGTGAACTTGATGTCAACTTCGCTCCGGTCATCCCATTGGGGGTAAAGGAGCCGTATAGCCAGCTCGAGAAGTCGATTGAATGCAGGGTTAGAAACGGGGGAGACGGTTTGTTCGATGCGGCAAATGGGGCAGGCGGTGGTAATTTCCATATTGGCGCGGATGCAGACAAAGCAGAAGACATGATGGCAGACAGTTCTGAAAATGCTTAGACACTGTCATGAATGAAGGAGAGATAGACGCACATGACGGGATGAGACAAGACCTCGAAGCAGATCGGGCAGGCCACCTCCGGTTCGACGAGGTCAGTGGTTACGCTTTCCGGAGCACGTTGGTCAGTGAGATATGCCTGATTTTCGATCCAATAGTGGGCAGGGGAAACACGTTTTGCTCGAGTGGATGCATAGTAAGCTCTGATGCGCGCCAGAGAGCGCTCGCGGAGCCGAGCGCGCTCTTCCGCCGCAGCGGCATCGAGAGTCGCCCGTGTCGTTCTCGAGGGCGGCTCGAGCATTCATCGCAGCACGACTATTCTCGCGGTTGCGACGAGGGCGGCGCTGAAATACACCAGGGTTTTGGAGGCGAAGCTCTCGCAGCGTTGGCCGCCGAGCTGACGGAGCTGTGTATGCAGATCAGTACTCACAGGAAAAAGCGATAGACTCCAACACTGACCCTCGAGTGGCGGCATGTCTGAGTCGGAGGGGAGACTGGGAAGAGGCTCGCCAACATCAACGAGTGGCGGCGGCAGGCAGGTGTTGGTGGGCCCATCTTCAGTTTGGTCGATAGGGGAAGCGTCTGGCGGCGGCACGGTGGCCTTGCTCAGTGCTGGGGACGAGCCTTCATAACGGCTTGTGTTGGCACTAAACATGTGGGTCGAGCGCGGCGCAAGCACAACTTCACGTTGAGTGGGAGTTTTTGAAGGCACGTTTGGGTGCTCCCAGCAGGACAACATTGAGACAACGACCCTGACTGTTAGTTGGGCCTTGATTGGGACGCTCCACCTCCAGCCTCCAGGTGGTGCGTGTAAGGGCAACCTCGCGAGGCTCGAAATCAGAGTCCTGAGCAGAGGGGGAATCCTTAGAGAACTACTACAACAGGAAGGGACGCTACAGACTCACCTGAGCAGAGGGGGAATCCTTAGAGAACAAGCCAAGGAGCCCTCTGCTCAGGTGCACTACTATATACTAGTGACCGGAGTAATGATAGAGTGACTGCATAGCGACGAACGACGCATGGGAGAAGTCAGGTGTCGCTAATGGACCCTAGGTGAGTGTCGAGTAGCCCTTGAAGCTCCGGAGAGGCAGGTTTCGGACCGTGATGCCAAGGGAGGAGCCCAGGCATCCTTAGAAGGCCTAAGAAGGGCTTCGGGAGGTCCAGGCTGCCTCTGAGCGTCTCCGCTTGTGACCGTGACCGTGACAACCGGAGTCGGAACCGGAATCGGAATCGACTCCGGGTGTGTGACCGTGACGTGACGGCCGGAAACGGAGAGGGAAGGCGTGGAGCGGAAAGGGAAGGAGTCTGGTCTAGCCCAAGGGCCGGGGAGTGTCGGAGAGGACCAATGGGAATGGCGGCCAGCCATGACCACTGGAGGGTAGCGACAGGGGTCACTCGGAGACGTCCCCGGACGTCTCCAGAGAGGTGGAGGTGTGAGGGCGTGCAGCCTGGGGCGCTGCAGTAGGCACGAGCCTTAACGGCAGTAGGCCTCACCCAGGGGAAGGCCCGATGACGGGGGCCGTGGTGGCGGAGTGGAGAGCGGAGCCATGGCAAGGCTCAGCCATCCGAACATAAGCCCGAACGCTGACATGGGTTGGGGACACCCAAGAGGTCCAGCAGGTAGAGATCGTAGGGAGACCATGATAAGTGACAGCCCAGAGAGGCTAGAAGGCCATAGGCTCAAGGTCTCGGAGGGAAGTGGTGCGTCCACATCCGGAGAGGTCTCCGATGGCATTAGTGATCCCTGATGGTGACTCCGCCGGCGGAGAGACTCCCGGAAAGGGGTGGCCAGGGAAGTCGAAGACTGGGGATCACTGGATGTGGGATGTGGTGTGGGCAGTGGAGGGAGAGTGTCAGGGTGCGGAGACGCGGAGACACGAGCGGAGACGCGGAGACGCGAGCGGAGACGCGGCGCTTGATGGGATCAAGTGACGGCATCAGGGTTTCCCCTGACATCATCCCCCCTTCAAGCTGCGTCGCCCCGATGCAGGAAAAAAAATCGGGGGGTCACTGAGCTCGTCCTCCGGAGTCCCTTGTCCTCCGGTGGCCAAGCTCCTGTCTCTGTCGATGTCCAGAGACTGTCCATCTCCAAGAGCCAGTGTGACGGTACCTTGGCGTTGCTCCAGTGATTGCTGTTGCCAAGGTCAACCCATGGAGTACTTGCGTTCTCCACTGGTTGCGCGCCCATATTCGGAGACGCCCGGAGACCTGCGGTCCCGGTGCCTCTCCGAGAGATGGTGCAACTACACCTTTGCGCAGCTCGGTGTGCGCCCGCTTGCGCTCTGGTCGCATGTTGCTCCAGGAGGGTCCTCTGCGAGTCCCCTCCTATACCTCCTCCATCCCCCTTCAAGAGTCGGCGCCCCGACGCACCACAGAAAAAAAAAAGGGGGGGGTCTGCGCTTAGCCAAAGCACCAAGTACACCTCCGGAAACGTCTCCGTTTGTGCCCGGAAACGTCTCCGAGCGTGACCGGAAACGCCTGTGACGTCACAGGGCGATTCCGACCATCTCTACTGGTTGTTGGAGATCGTTGGGCGGCAAATGACTTGCCATGGGGTGATAGCATAGCGAGTGGCGAGCTCACTTTTACTGCACCCAGATGTCAGGTTGGGGGGGGAAAGGAATTGCAGTGTGACTCCGGACACTGCGCTGTCAGCCGGGGCACTAAGCCTAGTGTTGCGGACTGGGTGGCAACAGCTCGACCCATCCTAGTTGTGCGGCAGAGGCGGGTTGACGTAGGCATTCCAGAAGCGATTCCATTGTTCGGGGTCCGGCTGTACAATGGGACCCTTTGAGCATCTCCGCTTGTGACGTGACCGTGACGTGACTACCGGAAACGGAAACGCGATTCCGAGCGCGTGACCGTGACGTGACGGGCGGAAAGCGGAGAGGGTTCCATGAACGGAAGGGGCACCTGCAGAGCCCTGAACTGCAGTGACTGCCTAGGTAACACCATGGTGGATCCTCTAAGGCAAGGGTACCCTCCGGGGCAGCTATGTTGACACCAGAGACGTATGAGACGTCTCCGGGGGGGTGTGCTAGATGAACTCCGATGCCATGTGAATGACATTATGGGGTGGAGTCCGTCTCCGGAGAGTGAGGGGGAAAGTCGGCACTCCGACTCAGCACCTGCCACTCGTGGCCTAGTAGGGCGGCCCCAGGCGAGCGGACTCGTCGTCTCGCATCTGGCACGGGCCTATACGGCAGTAGGCCACGCCCAGAACCTAGTGGGGCGGCAACGAGTGGTGTCATGCCAAGGTGTCGCAAGCCGATCAAAGGGATCAGCCATCTCGCGGTTATCCCAAGGTCCAGAGTCGAACTGGACGCGTCGAGCCGGACACGTAGGGAAGGTCACCCGGGTGGTCCGATGAGAATCGGGGCCGGGCTGTGAAGCCCGCGGAGACACGTGCGTAGGGGAACACGGGTGATGGAGTGTGGGAGACTTGCCTCCCAAGGAAGCCGAGCCTTGCTCGGGGTGTGAGCGATCTCATGTCAAAGCCACAATGACAGCATCAGCGGAAAGGTCTCCGGAGGTGCCCCCGGAATCGCTCCAGGGATCATGTGCCGCCCAAATTCTGGTGGAGTTGTCACATGATGTCGTGGTGGGGGGTGCGGTTTGAGCAAGAGACAGAGGCGAGGTGTGTGGTGATGGCAGAAGGTGCAGAAGGGAAGGTCAACACCAGCAAAGACACTATGGTCAGCATCTTTGGCAGTAAGAGTGGGGAGCATGCAGAGGTAATGGCCATCGCAGCGACAACCGCGGGAAAGCGGAATCAGAATCGGAATCGGAATCGGAATCGGAATCGGAATCCGGAGTCGTTTTGATGCCATCAGGGCGCTCCGCATGGCAGGGGAAGCCCATTCCGACAGGTGGCTGGCAGCAGGAACGGCTAGGGACAGACCAGCGGTGGCCGGAGAGGCCAGCATTAGCCATGGGTGGAGGGAAGGAAGGCGGGGCCACGGTCGGAATCGGGGGGAAGGGGGTCCGGAAGTGGTTCAGGACAGCCCGGGGCCATAGGGGGCGGGGCATGGGAAAGCTAAACCACGGCCGGAGGAGAACACCAAGGGCCGGGCAGGAGGAAGTATTGAGGCCTCACGAGGACCAAAGTGTTCGAAGGGGGCTGGGGCTGTGCAGCGCAAGGTCGGGTGGGGCCGGGACGGAGCCATCTGTCGCAATCCACCAAGAATCCTCCTGCATGCAGCCCCTCCGGAGGCCACCTCCAGGTTACCGGCG